TTTTACCACTTTAAAACTGCTATCTTTGGGGCAACACTAACATACACAGAAAAAAAAATGCTCATTGGAATCTTGAAGATGAGTTTGTAGTTTTGCCATTTGACAGAGTGGAAGATGTGAGATTTTTAAAGCCTTACATGATCATAAAACGACATGTTATCACAACCAACCATGGTCAAATCTGCGTTTCTTCAAGGCTGACTTTTAAATGTACCAAAACTAAAATCTTGTTTCCATTCCATGAGAACTTTGCTTGGTTTGTATTTGCCATTAAGCTTTCATTTCAGAAGAGTTCTGGGAAAGCCAGTGGTGTTCTTCTCACCTTATTTAACAAACTAACTCTATTTCATGTTGTTGAAACAGGAAAGCAACTCAGATGACCCATTTGAAGAAAAAAACTCTAAAGGGAACAAAGGAAGAACAAAGTACTCAAAAAAGGGCTTTAAGAACGTGGCCAAATTCAATGTAGTACCACTTCCTAACACACGATGGTAGTATAGAGTGTAACAATTTTTAAGTCGTCGTGCATTAAAATTTTGGCTCATGTTTCAAATGAATGAATTGCATTATCTGTTATATGGGTTTAAAAACAAATAACTGGCTTTGTAATGTGCACCTTGCGTTCACATCTTAAAACTGATAAAACTCGGATACCCTACCCTCGGGGGAAGTAGATGATTAACTTCAAAATAAAACATATGTCATTTAAATAAATACTTGGAACTTTCAATGTAAAACGTCTGTGAGTCGAGGCGAAACTTTGGCATGTTTGCGTATCGAGCAAAAACAAAAGGATTCCAAGTTCTGTTCCAAGTTCAGGCAATGATCGAAGAGCAGTTTGATTTTGAAAGTTAAGCAACCGGAAGTGTTTGCCTTCGTTAGCTTATTAGCTCGTATGACCTGGTGTGTCCTCCAATATCTGAGATTTGACAGCTAGCTGATTCAAGGATAAGACCAGATCATGGTTTTCGAGGAGAAAAGGATCACGAACGGAGAACCAGAGGTTCTTAGTATTTGTTACAGATACGATTTCGTAAGCTAGTGACGTTTGACGTTCAGCTTATAGGCTAATACACCGAGGCTAACTACGATGCATCCTTAGTTGACATTAGCATTAGCCAACCTCTCTATACATCTCTGTTCAGAATAAGATTAAAGGTTAATTAACAGAATCAAATCGCAGTCAGTGATAATAATGACGGACTAACTGGTGAAGATGAATCGATACAAAAGCAATTGATAACAATTTCTCGAGGGTGGTGGTTTATTGGTGTTATTAATTTGGTCTTGTGTATTTCAGGAGGAGGAAGAAGAAGAGGAAGAGATGGTGGTATGTTAATTAAATAACCTTAACAGAATCAAAGTATGTTAATATATCCCATTATGACTGATGGTTTTATTTTGGTCTTTACTGAACAAAACCAATTTAAAAAAAACAAAAAGTGATAATTTACTTTGTCATTTGATATTTGAAAAAAATGTGTGGTAGTTTTCCCGTATATAAAAAGAAAACAAAAACAAACCACCTACTTCATGGATTTTTTTTTTCTTTCCAAATTGGACTTTCCCTTTTTTCCTCAGCTATATGGCATTGCACTTATTTGGACACTGACACTGGCATATGTGTCTCTTATTGAAAGCCAGTTGCTTTGAGTGTTAAACTTTCTCCTTCAGGATCCTGTTGAATCACTGCGGCAGAAATGTGCGGAGACAGAACACTGCATTCACACCTGGGAGCGTCTGGAGCAATGTGAGACCAGAGTTGGCTCCCGGTCTTCAACGGAGGAGGACTGTACCGAGGAGCTGTTTGACTTCCTACATGCTCGAGACCACTGTGTAAGTGTGCCGTTAGGTAGCTGTACCAGACAGAAAGACTAAAAAAAAACCACTGACAAAATAGCAGGTGTTCTCAGTCCCTCGTTTCTTTGTTTTGTTTTCAAAGAGTCGATGTCAAGTGGCTTTATTGTCACGTCAACCATGTGCTGTGGTACAGTACACAGTGAAGTGAGACAGCATTCCTCCAAGACCAGTGCTACATGTATAACATATAACAGACAATCAACACAGGACTACATAAAGTGCAAGTGTGCAAAAATTCAAAAAACAAAAACAACAACCAGACAGAACAGAACGATGCAGACACAACAGTGCAACAATGACAGTGGGTTGTGCAAAAAGACTGAGCATTGTCAAAAAGTAACTTAAAAAGGCATGTGTATGAGATCTTTGCAGATAAGTGCTTGATATGCACGTCTGTTGTGTGGTGTTATTTTGTTCAGTTTTTTTTTCAGTTTTTCAGTTTTATTTGTCATATGCAAGTTAGCACAGGGTCAACATTGCAATGAAATGTGTTTGACGAGCAGCAGTCACTCAGCAGCATGATACAGTAGGAGAAAATATAATAAAATAAAAATAAAAAATAGAAAAATAGTAAGGAGCAAAATATTAGAGAGACATGGTAAAAGAGAAAAGATGACTAAATATATATGTATCTATAAATATAAATATATGTACACTAGTGATTAAATAAGAAAATCTTGAAAAGAAATATGACGGGAGGGCAGATGGGATATTGCACAGGAATGAGCAGCAGAAAATTACAGTATTGCACTTTTAAATATAAATATCAATAACAATAAAGTGGAGTGACCAGTGCAGATTAAACAGAGTACTTGTGAAGCTGCAGGTAGCTTCTGAGTGCTGTGTTGTGTGTGTTTAAGTGTTGTGGTTGAGGTGTCGTATGGCTTGGTGGTAAAAACTGTTTTTGAGTCTTGTAGTGATGTGTGTGTGTGTGTGTGCTGTGTGTTGTGTGTGTGTTGTGTGTCAGCCAGTCACTGAGTGTTCAGTAGTCTTGAAAAAATCAAAGTTGAGGGTGTCAGGAATGCTTTTCAAGCTGGTTTGACAGCAGTTAGTTTCTCAGAAGCCCTTTCAGTAAGTATTCGGAGTTATTAAAAGTTACTTAAAGAACTTATAGAAAACCTTGCCTAACAGACTTCAGGCTGTGTTGAATAATAAAGGTGGGCATACCTAAGTTTGACTTTGAAGTTTGTTAGAATTGTAAAAACTGTTCTTTTATCATAATAAATACTAATAGCTGCTTAGGCTCTTATTATTTAATAGAAAATAAATAACAACCCCCAAAGTTGTTGTTACTTTAAGAATGCTCTTGGAGGAATTTTTAAATCTTTAGACAGTGTTTCCACCTCCACTGTCTGTCTCAAGAACTGCTGTTCTCCAGTTTCAAGTTGATCTATAACCAATTGTAGTTGATTGAGCAATCTGGATTGTGATAATAAACTAAACTAATAAATAGACCTGGCCTTCGGTTTTATGACTGAGCTCCATGTTTTGCTCTGTATGAGTGCAAACCTGAAAGTGAGTGGTATTATGATGTGTAAAGTAGGACTGCTTTTACTCTTGAAGACATTTTTGATCTCCTGAAGGCTTAGATAAATGTGACTGAAGGGAGATTTTTATCAGAAATCATAGAGATAATCATCATTACATTTTTACTCAACATTTGCAAGCAAAGCTGCAGTCCCCTCATACATGAAGTTAACTTTAGCTTACCATGGCAATATGACACACCTTTATCTGGCAGTTGCCAACATAAGAGCAACATATACAAGAAACTATCCATTTGTATGGCCTACATGTAAGAGCAGTAACTTAAGTGATATGAAATGTCTGTGTTGTTTGTTTGCACTGATGAATTATTTGTTGTATGTCCTCTCTACAGGTGGCACATAAATTGTTCCATTCTGTCAAATGAAGCTCTCAGTAACTGACCACTGGCTGATGGCTTTCTTCACATATTGTATCGTAAGAAGAACTTGGAGTAAAATACATCCATTTGTGGATCTACTGTATGTTGTAACTTGAAGTGTATACATTATCTGCTCATGTAAAAAAGTATTTAACATGTCTGAGTCAACATTTCATTAAAGATGATG